TATGACTCAAATGGATATAAAAGACATCTATAGAACATTCCATCCAAACATAAAGGAATATACCTTCTTCTCAGCAACTCATGGAACCTTCTCAAAAAGTGATTACATACTAGGTAACAAAGCAAACCTTCACAAATACAAAAAAAAATGGAATAGCCCCATGTATCTTATCAGATCACCATGGCTTAAAACTAGAATCCAACAGCAACACTATTTTCATAAAGCCCACAAACACATGAAAATTAAATAATGTTCATCATCAATGGGCCAAGAAAGAAATAAAGGAAGAAATTAAAGAGTTCCTAAAATTCAGTGAAAATGGCTACACGATATACCCAAATTTATGGGACACAATGAAAGCAGTATTAAGAGTAAAGATTTTAGCACCAATTGCTTACATAAAGAAGCTTTAAAAATCTCACACTAGTGAGTTAGCAGAACATCTGAAAACTCTAGAAAAAAAGAAGCAAACTCACCCAGAATGACTAGATGGCAGGAAATAATCAAATTGAGAACTGAAATCAACAAAATAGAAACAAAGAAAACAATATTAAGAATGAGACAGAGAGTTGATTCTTCGAAAAAAAAATCAACAAATTAGAGAAACCTTTATCCAAACTAACCAAAAGGCATAGACAGAATATCTAAATTAACAAAATCAGAAATGAAAAGGGGGAAATAACAACAGACATGGAGGAAATCCAGAGTCATTAGGTCATATTTCGAAAACCTGTACTCCACAAAATTGGAAAACTTAAAGGAATTGGACAATTTTCTGGATAAATACCACTTACCAAAATTAAAATCAAGATCAGATAAGCAAATTAAATAGAATTATAACTGCTAAAGAAGCAGAAACAGTCATCAAAAGTCTCCCAACAGTAAAAAGTACAGGATCACGTGGTTTCAGCACAGAACACTACAAAATTTTCAAAGAACCAATACCAATGCTCCTCAAATCGTTCCACACAATAGAAACAGAAGAAACATTGCCAAACTCTTTTTATGAGGCTACAATTACCCTGATACCCAAACCAGAGACATTACTAAGAAAGAGAATTACAGACCAATCTCACTTATGAACATTGATGCAAAAATACTCAATAAAATACTGTCAAATCAAATCCAAGAAGACATCAGAAAAATCATCCACCATGACCAAGTTGGCTTCATGCTAGAGATGCAGGGATGGTTCAACATACAAAAATCTGTCAGTGTACTCCACCATATAAACAAACTGAAAAAAAAAGCACATGATCATCTCATTAGATGCTTAAAAAGGCTTTGATGAAATGCATTTCTTCATGATAAAGGTATTGGAGATATCAGGGGATACAAGGAACATACCTACGTATAATAAAGGCAATATATAGCAAACCAACAGAGCCATCATCAAACTAAATGGAGAGAAACTCAAAGTGATCCCACTGAAATCAGAAACAAGACAAAGTTGCTCACTCTCTCCATATCTATTCAATATAGTTCTTGAGGTTCTAGCTAGAGCAAAAGACAACAAAGGAGATCAAGGGGATATAAATCATAAAAAAGAGGCCAAAGTCTCACTATTTGCTAACGATATAATAGTTTACATGAGTAGCCCTGAAAATTCTACCAAGGAACTTCTACAACTCATAAACAGGATTAACTAAAAAAAAAATCAATAGTTCTCTTGTACTCAGATGATAAAAGGGCTGAGAAAGAAATCAGAGAAACATCTCCCTTCACAATAGCCACAAATAACATAAAATATCTTGGGTAACACTAACCAAAGAAGTGGAGGACCTGTATGACAAGAGCTTCAAATCTTTGAAGAAAGAAATTGAAGAAGGTACCAGAAAAAGGAAAGATCTCCCATGGTCTCTTGGGTAGATAGAATTAACATGGTAAAAATGGCAATCTTAACAAAAGCAATCTACAGATTCAATGCAATGCTCATCAAAATCCCAGCAAAATTCTTCACAGTCCTCAATAGAACAATACCTAACTTCATATGGAAAAACAAAAAACTCAGGACAGTTAAAAAAATCCTATAAAATAAAGGAACTTCTGAAGACATAACAATCCCTGACTTCAAACTCTACTACAGAGCTACAGTACTGAAAACAGCCTGGTACTGGTATAAAAACAGACAAGAGGACCAATGGAACCAAATTGAAGGCCCAGATATCAATCCGTCCCCCTACAAACACCTGATTTTTAACAAGGAAGCAAAAAATATAAAATGGAAAAAGAAAGCATATTCAACAAATGGTGCTAGCATAACTGGCTATCAACACATAGAAAAATGAAAACAGATCTATTTCTATCACCATGCACAAAACTCAAGTCCAAATAGATCAAAGACCTCAACATAAAACCAACCACACTGAATCTCATTGAAAAGAACGTGGTAAGTGCACTTGAATGCATTGGCACAGGAGAACACTTCCTAAATATAACTCCATTAGCACAGACACTGAGAGAAACAATTAATAAATGAGATCTCCTGAAACTCAGAAGCTTCTGTAAAGCAAAGGACATGGTCAACAAGACAAAAATGGCAGTCTACAGAATGGGAAAGATCTTTACCAACCCCATATCAGACAGAGTGCTGATCTCCAAAATATACAAAGAACTCAAGAAATTGGTCACCAAAAGAACAAATAATCCTATAAAAAAGATGGAGTACAGACCTAAACAGAGAACTCTCAACAGAGGAATCTAAAATGGCTGAACGACACTTAATGTTCAACATTCTGAGTCATCAGATAAATGCAAATCCAAACAACTCTGAGATTCCATCTTACACCTGTAAGAATGGCCAAGATCAAAAACACTGATGACAACTTATGCTGGAGAGGATGTGGGGAAAAGGGAACACTTCTGCGTTGCTGGTGGGAATGCAAGCTGGAACAACCCCTTTGGATGTCAGTGTGGCGATTTCTCAGCAATTCTAAATTAGATAGTGTGAGAAAAGCCACAGCTACAGAAGAAACTGCTCTAAATAGCAATAAACAACCAACCACACCTGAGAAAAATGGAAAAAATTTCTTAATAACTGGGAATTACATAGAATAAAACAAATAAGAGATTAGAGTAGTGATGCATTTAATGAAAATCAAATTTAAAAAATGAAACTAATAATTGACATTTTAAAAAGATAAATATAATTGAAAACACATAGATATCCTGGCTTTGAAAAAGAGCAGGTCATTCCCTGGTAGAGGACTGGCATTAATAAAATACTGTTTGACCTTGTCCAATATGTGCAATGTTAGCTGTTGAGATCTGTAACCTGACACACACAGTTACATCAATGATCTGTGTCTTAACTCTCTGAGCTGACTTAACTGTGCTGAACAGGGCTGAAAATATCTGCAAAGGAGAGTCCCCTATTTGGAAATTCAGTACTCATTGGCTCAAGCTAACTGCCCCCCAAATTGTGCACCCACCAATCTGGCCTGCCTTCATTCACATGACATGAACTAATACATGATGAGAAATTACAATATCACTATCTCTGCCACAATCAGATCCTATTTAATAATGGTAACTACAGCAGCTGACTTTTTAACCTATTTATCCCTCCAGTGCACACAAGAAATCATTTCTCCTATTCTGGTCTGAAGACAGAAGCCATGTTTTACACGTAAATTCCATACCTGTTACTGCAATGGATAGTTGACTACATGACTCAAAGGGTGAATTTTAAAACTTAGTGATGGTACAGCCTTTAATTTAAGAATTTAGTTGGTTTAATCAAGAGGATGGCAAGGTCATTGCCCTGGGAAGCAACACACTGGGGTCAAGGCCACCTGAGCCAACGCAAGAGAGCTTGTCTCAGAAACATTTTCTTAATGGCTGGAGGTACAGCTATTCTAGAATTAATATCTCCTCCCAGGAAGAAATCATTCCATATAATAAGTAATTAATAAATAACAATCTCTTTGATACAGTGTGCATCCATCTCTGGCTAATGCTAAAAGAGGAGCACCTAGAACAGATGCCATTACAGTAACAAGAAAAAGATTTGTGTGTGGAGCATTTCCTTATATCTTCTGCCTTGGTCTCAGGCTTGGAGGGAGGGCGGCACACTAGGGGGCCATAGTGGGGCAAGTTGATTCCGGGGGCAGGAGCTGGGCACTCAGACATCCATTCTACAGGTTTGGGTATGGTGGGGGTGTGGAGAGCGCCAAGGGACTGTGTCCCAGTTGGTGGTGTGTAGTCACTACGCTTAGTCTCATCCATGCCTGTTCTCAGCCCTGTGGTGCGCACCGATATCCTTGCCGGTTTAGTGGTTCTACCACCCAGAGTCCAGGGAGATCCACCGTGTGGTGCCTGGCGTGTAGGACCATGCAGCCGCCCTGTGGCTTGGAGCAGAGGCCCCGCGATGTCCCTGCCACTGTGAACCCTTTGGCCTGAGCCAACCTGCTCAGCCCAGACAGGCTCAGTATCTGGGAAGCTCCACTCCACTGGAGGCCACCGGTCAAGCAGCAAGAGGGCGCAGGAAAGGCCTCCCCACCCTCCGGCGTGACACCGGGCTCAGCGTAGGGATTTGCGTCAAAATCAACAGCAACTCTCTCTCTCTCTCTCTCTCTCTCTCTCTCTCTCTCTCTCTCTCTCTCTCTCTCTCTTCTTGACATGATTTATTTTAATAAAAAATTCAGCTGAGTATGTATCACAGACTACATGAAACTATACACAGTGACATTCTTACGGCGTAGTAACCAACTCTGGTGTGTATTTGAATTTTAAAATCGATTTTTTTAAAAATAATCCTTTCAAGTGCAATTCAAACGTTTAAGCAAATCACAGAATGAAAGATTTCTAACAATTTAGTAGCAAATCACCGGGCAATCTTTAGATTAGAAGCCAGAGCTGGGAAACACTGAGCCGGGTCCCTTCAGCTCACATGATCCTGTCACTCAGGCTCCACTAGCCAATCATAGCCTCCAGGTGACCCGCCAATCAGATGGGAGGGTTCTTCCCGGGAGCCAGGCTTCTGGCTGAACTCTTTCGCTGAGGAAGTCGGAAGCTGTCGATTGTGCTACACCTTGGGCTCCGTTGTGGAGAGAGCGGGGTCAGCTCCCCAGTTTCACCATGGTGAGCGAGGGGCTGCTCTCCACAGATGGGGAGGAGTTGCTGGCCCTGTTGAGCGTGGGTTTGCTGCCCCCGTACGGGAAGGTGTGTCTGGTCTCGGTGAGTGAGGGGCCGCTGTCCTCAGACTGGGTGGAGCGGCCGGCTGAGCCTGGGAAGCCGGTGTGGTGGGTCCTCTCCTGGCTGCGTGGGAGCTAGTGGCCAGACACAGTGTTCAGCATGTTTCTGCCTGGTCTTACGTGGTCCTGGGTGGTGTTTGCAACTCCCTGGGCCGTGGGGACTGCCTCTTAATAATTTCGCTCCCTGGGCTGCGTCAGCGCAGAGCTTTGGGAGCGGAACTGTGTTTAGAAATATTCTTGTTGACATCACTGTGGAATGCTGGTGCCTGTAGTGCTTATATTGTCACATGTGGAGAGACATCCCCAGATTTGCCAAACTCGAAGAGCCCTGGTTTCCCTAGTGTCTTCCAGAAGTTCTACACTTCTAACATTTAACATTTAGGTTTAGGACCCGTCTGGAGTTAATTTTGTGGAGCTTGTAAAAGGTGTCTCCTGTGTAGAGTAGTGTTCACTGTTAAATGGTTATGTAGAAGAGTAGAATTGATGGTTATAGAATTGATGGTATAAGGATTTACCAATGTTTAGGAGATATAAAGTCATACAAAGCAGAATTTAGGTAAGGGAGGGCTGCATCCCAAATATCCCAAAGATAAATAGTATGCTAACCGTACCTATTAGAGATTAGTGTGATAAGATGTAAATGTTTGTTCACCATTAGGCTACATTCCCATAACAAATCAGACAGCCCTGATTTGCAACCAGCCAAAAGGCCCACCTTCCCATCAAAGGCCTCTAACATGCTGCTCAAGGGGCCATTACAGGGTCACAACCAACATTAAGTCCTGGCTTGCCATTAAGGTATGTTAATTCTACAACAGCTGCATTTCAAGCCTTTTTGAAAAGTAGTCTTGAGCCAAGGTCTCCTATGTTGATTGTGGTGGTCTTGAACCCTGTCTGTAGTCCCTGCTCTCCTCCTGACTGAACACCCTAAATTCTTGGATTACAGCTCTGTAGCACCACAGAGTTCTGAAATTACCAGTTTGAGTCACATAGTGGACTGTCCATTGCAGAACAGGGAAAGGATTTGTGTGTGGAGCATGGCTTCTCCCTTCAGACCAGAAGAGGAGGAACAGTGCTCTGTGTACACTGCAGAGGGGAACAGAATGTACAATAGCTAGATCACAGACTGAAATTTAAGCCAGTGAGCTGCAGGGGTATCCATTACAAAGAAGGACCTGATGGGGTAGGGTGAGTGACTTTCTGTGTGATTTCCCAGCATGTATCAATTCCTTGCATGTTGAATGAAGACAGAATTGGTGGGTGTACAGTTTAGGGAAAATAGCTTGAACTACTAAGTATCCAGTTTCCAATTAACGGACTCTCCTATGCAGATATGTGCAATTCTGGTTGAAACAGTTGCGTCAACTCAGAAGTTTGAGACACAGGCTATTGTCTGTCACTCCATGTGTCAGCCTACAGCACTCAGTGGCTAACATTTTACAACAAAGTCATACAGCCTCTTATTAGTGGCGTTCTCGCTACCAGGGAAGCGCCTACTCTGTTTCAAAGCCAATATAGCTAAGTGTTCTTCCAGTTATTTTTATCATTTTAAAAAGTCAATTATTGGTATCATTTTAAAATTTCATTTTCTTTAAATGCATTACTTCTCTTATCTCTATTTGTTTCTATTTTTCAACATTTCCAGTTTAAAAATTTCATTCCATTTTTCCTATCTATCTATCTATCTATCTATCATCAGTTTAGATCAGTGGTTCTCAACCTGGGGGTGCATGGCTCCTTTTTGGGGCTCAGATGACCCTGTCACACCTAAGACCATCAAAAAACACAGATATTTATGCTACAATTCATAATAGCAAAATTATACTTATGTAGTAGGAGTAAAAGTAATTGTATAGTTGGGGGTCACCACATCACAAGGAACTGTATTAAAGAGTCATAGCATTAGGAAGGTTGAGGACCACTGGTTTAGATCAGTGTCTCCCGTAGCTCAGGCTTGCCTCATGCTATATTATTGAGAATTGCTTTGAATACCTAATCCTGCCTCTGCTGCTCAGTGGTAGGAAGACAGTCCTGCAACTCCTTCCAGGCTGGGTCTTGGCTGGTCTGTGGGAAGGAAAAATAGATGAGTATCCCTCAGCTTCTCTAGATTTTATTGTGAATTTACAAATGAAGTGGGACCTATGTAAGAACTGAATTCACTGGCCAACTGTAAAGCAGGTGCAGTCTCAACACAGAAAGGGATGGGCCAGAAGTAGGGTGAAAACTTTCCTGCTGTGACAGTAGTTGACATTAGCAATGAGCAGTGAGGCAATAAATTGTAGATGCTCAATAAATATTCTGACTGGCCGTTTCTTGGGTCCACAGACAAGCCAATCAAGAATCTGGATAAAAAAACTGAACTTACCATGAAACCAATTACTGTAGCTACACCAGTTCAACCTAAATAGAAAAAGTCAATAAAATGGTGTGGCCCTGCCATGACTGTGTTTTCCGGGCTTAAGATGTATACCCTGAGAGAAATGGTGAGTGTAGTACTTGGTGTGCTCTAATACAATCCCTAGTCTCTGTAGCATGTGGACATGAATCCTGTTCCAACTTTTCCAAATAGTGTTCAGAATTATAATTACATTATTTCCACCATCTCTTTCCTGCCTCAACGCCCTCCCATCGACCCTTCATTGTGTTCTGATCCATGGCCTCTTTTTGTTTAGCAACAGTTACTGTTTGAATGTGACCTGTGTTTGGCTGCAGAACTTCCCAGTTATGAAGCAAAGGGTTGGCTATATTGGGCATTGAGTGTGTAATGGAATGTGTATGCCTTGGGAGAGGAACCGGAAGTACCCTGGGAGAATGGAGGATTTTATTAAACTACAAATTTCCCAGATTAGGGCCCTGTCTGACCTTAGCATAGAAGGGTATAGCTGGGAGGGCCTGCGAGGTCTGAGTTATTTGATCTCTGCTCACTTAGTAGGGTAACTGCTAATATCCTGAATCCAGACTGGTGGCCCAAGCTAATTGGATACTCTGGGAAGACTTAGCAATCAGGGGCATCAGTGAGAGGTAGCTTACAGGTTTATTCCAGGATTCTTCTCTTGTTCTGCTGTAGGGAGCTGTAAGGAAGACCTCAAGCTATGCCATGGTGAATGGGGGGCCACTGTCCCCAGACCAGGAATAACAGGTTGGCTGAGTGGTCAGAGCTGCTTCGACTGTGATGGACCATGAGCCAGACTGAGGTTCTTTTGATCTGTGTGGTGACCTGAGCAGTGGTCCTTGGCCTGTGAGCTTTGTTGAGTGTGTATTCCTTGGGGATGGGGAGGCTCTGACACCCTAACATCGGAGACTGTGATGCCCGGTAATATCATTGTCCAGTGTGCACATATAGGCCTTGCTCCTGTTGTGCAGTGGAAGACAGTTTGGAAAACTGAAGGCCTAATTTCTATAAGTTCTGAATGTTACATTCCACTTTCAGGTTTGTTTTACAAATGTTACAGATGGTTTAGAAACTGGTAGAAAGGAGGTGATGGGCACTATTCTTCAGCAGTACATGATTAGAATGTTTTCAACTTTCTGCTATTGCTAGCCACTATGGTGTGATTCAGTAAAGTTCAGTTCTAGGGCACAAAAGGAGTTTCTGAGTTGTAATGGTATCTTAGGTTTGTATGGTGTTGGACAGCTGAATAGCACAGATGGCACATCTTTTACCATACTCCATGTAACAGGAAACAGACATTAGTTTATTCTTCTACATTGTTTTTTGATTGGGCATCATTGGGGCTGGGTTTGCCTGAACCACAATGGGGCATGAGAGACTTTAGAGCCTTATTAGGCTCTAGAGGAAATCACCTCCATTTGCAGATAGCTCTAGAGCATGGAGCATCTCTGGAAGAAATATCAGTAGCTAGATGGTCATTCAGAAAGTTAACAGTTTAAGGGTCACTTTGAGATAATTTTGTGGGGCTTGTAAAATCTATGTTTATTTAATTTCTATGCATATAGAATCATAGTCAGCTGTGTAATGTTGGTCAAAATCAGTTTTCCTGGCTGAATTTCTTTTGTTCTTTTGATGAAAAGTTGACCTTATCTTTCTGCTTTTGTTCTTGCCTTTTTTCTCTCCATCATCTTTATTCATTCACAAATGAATGAATGCACATTGTTTGTTGTTGTATCTTTTGTGATAAATATAGAAGTCACATTATGTCAACATGTGTACTGTTTCTTGTAATCCCATTGAGCATTCTTAGTGTTTCCATTGTGCATGTAGCTTTGCAATCAGCTTTTCTGTTACAAATTGTTGGGCATTGTCTTTGGATTGTATTTGGTTCATGTTACAAATTAACCATAAACAACATCTTAATATTGATGAATCATGTTCCCAAGGATCATTCATTTAGGTTTTATTTTAGTTGTAAATCTGTGAAAGACTTTTAGATAATTGGATAAAATGTAGTATGGGCATGGTAGGTCACTCAACACAAATTCTTGGGGATGACCTGAGTTCAGATCCCAGCACCCAAATCAGGAGGCTCATAACCTGCTATTCTAGGTTAGAGGATCTGATAGCCTCTTTTCTGGAGTGTCACCTGTACATAAATGGAAGATGTTCTCTTGAACATACAAACATACACATAAAAATTGGGGATAAATTTGCTTTTAAAAGTACTTGTGACTTATAGTGCAATTATAGCAAAACAAGTTGCTTTTGGTGTATAATATAAATCAGTACATTGTTTCTTTAAAAATCTGTCATCTTGTGTTTGGTTTGGAAAAGTTTTCCTTTCCTCACTCTGATGCAGACTTACATCTAATCATCCATCATAGGAAAGTGATCCTACCTCTTGTGAGCAAGAAGATAGATATGCATAGTTAATATAACAAAAGTTATATTTTATTATGCTGTTGTTCATTATACAAGGTTCCCACTCTGAATTCCCAACCATGGTCCTAAGCCTATCTTACCAAGGCTGCTCACCTGTGAAAAGTATCTTAGCTGAAGTCTCTAACAGAAGTCTCTTATTAAAGGGTCAGGATCCTGGGGGAGATGCTCTAACCACAGAACTGATCAAAGTGATCTTTCCACATGTACAGAGCAAAGCTTATATATTTCTGCTTATATACTGACCAGTAGTTCTGGGACTGTGTCTGGTTTTCTGGAGTGGGTGATATCACTGGGTTCTGGTAATGTCTTGGTTATAGTGGGGTTCATGACTGTTATTACATGTCTAAAAATCATCTAATGAGATTATCATGTGGGTTTTTTTTCTTTCAGTTTGTTTATATGATGGATTACATTGACAGATTTGTGTATGATGTGGGATTTCCCTCTGTATGCTGTGAATATGTTTTACTACCATTGGTTAATTTTAGCTGCTTAGGCCTATTGCAGGACCCTAAGAGGAATGCATGGATCTCCCTGGAAAGAGGAAATAGATGACATGTCCTGGGTAAATGGGGGGTGGGGATGAGTATTTGGAATGGGATGGGGAACGGGAAAATCAGGGGTCAGGATGGTTGAGTTGGGGGGCAGGACGGAGTGGGAGGGTAATGAAAGAGATAGCGTGAAAGAGTGGAACATTATAGGGCTAGGGTGAAAGCTGGTGCCAGGGAAGTCTCCCAGGAACCCACAAGGATGACCCCAGCGAAGACTCCTAGCAATAGTGGAAAGGGTGTGTGAACTGCCTTCCCCTGCAATGAGATTGGTGACTACCCTATTGTCTTTTGTGGGAACCCTAGCAATGGGACCAGGACCTATCCCTGAGGTATGAGCTGGCTCTTTGGAACCTATTCCTTATGGTGGGATGCCTTGTTCAGCCTTGATGCAGCAGTGAAGAGCTTGGTTCCTGCCTCAACTTGGTCTGCCATGCTTTGTTGATTCCCGAGGGAGACCTTACCCCATCTTAATGGAGATGGAGGTGGAGTGGATGGGTAGGAAGTAGAAGGGAGATGGTGGTGGGAACAGGAGGAGAGGAGGGAAGGGAAACTGTTGGTATGTAAAATAAAATAAAAAAAATGTCTGTGGGTTATAGATAAAAACAGCAGTAGGTAGTTTCAGATGGCAGTCAAGTGCTGAACAGATCGGAATTTTTAGGAAGCTTGTCACCAGTAAAGAGAAGGCCCTTGCTCTTCATTAGAAGCTTTGCAAAGTACCCAATGGGTAATAATCCATCTTTCTGTGCCATTGGTTAATGGAAGGTTTAGGCAAAGTGACTTCTAGTTCCAGGAAGCAACTTCATACAATGCCTGCTCCAACTCTGGACCAATCATGGTAGGGTTCATCACAACTTAGCAGCGAAATTTGGGCGAGTCATCAATGTTGTACTGGTTCTGGAAACAAGAAAGATGCAAAAGTTAAGGGCATTCATTCTTAGTCTGTGATTTCTGTTTAGCACTGTTGTAGGCATTTGTGTTTGGTGGAGTCAGAGCTCCAGTGAAGAGATAGATTTCATTGAATGATGCTGTGAGGATGAAGCCTGGGCTGTATTTTGAGAACATACGACGTTGAGATACTTAAGCTATGAGACATCTTCCATGGAGAGCTGCATATATGGAGTGAATGTAACCAAAGAGTGAAATGTATGGGAAGTTGTGGTGATACAGCCATCTGAGCCCTTTGAAACTGAAACCCCATGTGTCTGACACAAAGCTACTGGATTTGAATGTTGCCCTTCTGGGTTTCAATCTTGCCTTGGTCCAATCTTCCCTCACTATGTTTCAATTCCTCTCCTTTGTAATGGGAATTGGTATTCTGTGCCATTGTATTATGGAAAGATTTAGTTTGTTTTATGATTTTACAAGATGACACAGTCAAGAGATTGTCTTGAGTATCAAAAGAGACTTTGGACATTTGAACATTGTAGGGGCTGTTGCAGACTGTGAGGATCATTGACATGACTAAATACATTTTCTTCATGGATGACCCTGAGCCTATGGTGACCTGGGTCAGAATCTTGTTTACTGAATTAAGAAAAGCTCCCAGATAGGATGATGCAGTTGAGCATGTGTCTCTCTTTGGTGGTTTTCTTTGGGGTGCTTGTGGAATCTTTAGTAGGAGGAACCTTCCTGGATGAAATTCCTCATTGGGGATGGGATTGGAATGTCTATAGTCTCAACTCATTTCTTGTTCTCTATTTCTAAACGGTGTTGTGGTTGAAACCAATCAGCCAGCTTCCTTCTTGTGTTGTCATGACTTCACCACCATTAATGATGGTATCCCTAAATCACATAAGATAAATTTGAACTAATTATTATTCAGTGCTAAGCCATTTTGCTAGCCTGAGGTTTTTTTTTTTTAAGTTTTGTTGTTTTCATTTTTTATTTCTGAAAACAATGTTTGTCTGAGTAGCCCTGTCTGTCCTGAAAGTTGCTCTGTAGATCAGGATAACCTATAACTCAGAGATTCCCTTGACTCTTGCTCCCAAGTGCTGGGATTAAAGGTGGGCCAATATTCCTTGGTTTTTTTATGTATATTCTTGGGTGATAGGCCTAGAGTGTAGGTTTTTGTACATGTCAAGCATATGCTCTTTTGCTGAGCTTTACCCCAACTTAGATTTTGAAATTTGGCAGATTATCAATCTCTTTCCTAGGATGGCAGTATTCATGATCCAGGAAGTATTCATAAATGCCTGGATTACAGGTATGTAGCATTCTTCCTTCTTGTTATGTTTTTCTTTCCCTTAATAAATATGATTCTTTTGCCTGTATTCATGGGGATGCCCCACATGTGTGCCTGGTCTTTGCAGTAGTCAAAAGAGGCCCTGAGCTTGGAATGATGGATAATTGAAAGTACTGGCAATTGAACACACTTAAATGCAAGACCAGGAAGGGCTCTTAACTTTTGAGCTATCTCTTCTGCCCTGTGTTGATTATTTGTGATCAACATTTACGTTGCAAACATTTTCATCTGTCTATTTGTAACTGTTTAAACGCACAGTTCCTTTTATTAAGATTTATTAAAGTTACAGTTTAAACTAGAGCACTTTAGGTTTCTGGAAAATGAATACAGATCTGGAGTGAATGCATAACTTTGTAGAAACTTCAATAAAACAAACTCTGAGTTCTTTCAATCTTTTTTGTATGATTGATTTAATAGATACTTAATAGTTACTTCTTGCTGTCCTGAATTTGTTTGCATAGACTAGGCTATCATTCACTTCAGAGGCAGGTATATCTGCCTCTGCCTTCTTGTAAACTGCTTTGGGTGGGTTACTTAGTCTAGGGGTTGTAACCCACCCTGCAGTCAGTTATTCCAGGGTCCCAGAGAGGCACTATCTGTAAGATAATGGGCTAAGAGAGAAGAAGAAGGCCAAGCGGGGGTTCCTGTCAAATCCTTCATTTATTAGAGACAGGGTCACAGCTTATATAGGAAAAGGAATTGGGGGGATGAGGGAGGAGCCTGGGCTCTTGCCACGTGGTTCATGTTGGTCACATAGGCCAGGAGGTTATGTTTGGTCAGGTCACGTAGGTCAGGAGTTCACAACTAGGAGTTGACACACCTAGTTCTCTAGATAGTTTGGAATGTGGGGCGGGTTCCACTAACAGATAGCTCTCCATTAACAGCCAATTTGGGTGTGGGGTAGGCTCTGTCAATAGAACGATTCCTAACACAATTAGGGGTGTGGGGTTCTCTGCAGACTCCCCAGGGTCATGATTCCTGCAATAATCCTAGGAGGAAAAGGCTCCTGACACCTTCTGATTTCTGAGATTAAAGTCATGAGCCAAAACACCCAGCCTGCTCATATTTTTTATAGTTAGTAATTGTTCATACAATTTCTGTGATATGTACTCCATACTGTTGATCTGCTTGCTTGTCTCTCTATGTTAGTATGTATTTTTCTTGCAAGGTGATGTCCCATTCAGAAATCACAGAGGTAAACCTATTCAGTTTCATTCTAAAGTGAATTGATGATTATATTACATGTCTGTGTCCTAGAAAAAGTGTGGGAAACACCAGAATTATATGACTATAGTGTCAAAGAAGTATACATTTACAATGTTGTCAGTATGTTTTTTGTTGTATGAATGTACGGCATATTTTAGGATACAGTGACCTATAATGATGTCCATGTCGACTTCACTCGGGAAGAGTGGGCTTTGCTTGATCATTCCCAGAAGAATCTCTACAAAGATGTGATGCTGGAGACTTATATGAACCTCACTGCTATAGGTAATACTGTGAATTTTCCTTCATGTATTGAAATAAAGAGACAACTGTTTCTTTGCTATTGCTACTCTTCTGTATTTTTTTATTGAGAATGAGGAAGAATGAGGTTAATAAATCAGGCATGGTTCTAAGGATCACTGAAGATAGTAACTTAAATTTTACACAATTTCCAATAATATATCATACATTTTCTGACACTGTATTTTAGGCTACAACTGGCAAGATCATAATATTGAAGAACATTGTCACAGTTCTCAAAGACATAAAAGGTAATTTTAATGTGTAAGTAGATGCAAATGTGCCTCTCAAGATATTTTAAATGTATCTGAAAGTTTTCAAGAAAAGCCAGTGGTGTAAATGTTCACCACTTAAAATGCATTGATGATTATTAAATTATCCAAAACCATATACTTCAATGGCAAGTGATTGAATTATGTCTGTAAGTCATACTTTTAAGAAGGAAGACAAGGAATCAATGCCTTAACAGATATCACCATTTGAATCATTCTTTGCTCCATCAGATCCATGCTGTAAAATAGTCAATCCATTTAGTTTCATGCCACTCATATTACAAAAGATATACTCATTGAATAGTTGATAAGTATATGTTGAAAGCCTTCTAATAAGCAAGTAGGCCATAGTAAAACTAGTATTATTCATATAGTTGTTCTGACTTTGCTAAGTTTAATTAGATGGATAGGTAGTTAGAGTCAAAAAGCTAGGGGGAGTTTTGGAGAAACCTTAATCCCTATGCCATATGTCTATGTGAAACAGAAAGTCAAATGTGTGAATGCAATGTGGAAACCTTTTATTTGTTATTCTTTCTTTAATAGGTATGTTATATGTCACTCTGGAATCAAGCTATATGAATATAGGGATATGAAAAGGAGCAATGTACCTCTCCCCATCTGAGAACAATTAGAAGATATGTAGTTGTCCCCATGTTGAATAAATCTGTTGAATGTGAATTGGGTTACAAGCAGTTGGTTTTCCATCTACATTGGTAATACATCAACAAACTAATAATACAGGAAAGCCCTATAAGTACTAGAAATGTGTAAATACTTCTGTTTGTCCTGGTTCACTTTGCAAATGTAGTATGACTCACAATATAGGAAAATTTATAAATGGAATAAGTTTAGTAAAGGTTTGAATTCTTCCAGTTCTCATCAAATATGTGAAAAATCTCATAGAGAAAAAGATGCCATAAATGTGAGCCAGGTAATAAAGACTCTTAACATAACGGGCATCTTTAATGTGTAAAATAACTCTCAATGAAAGAGAACAGCATTAGTGTAAACCAATCATAAAAACTTAAGTTCTAATTACTGTTTACAATTAGACCAAATAGTAAAATTGATTCATACAAATATAAAGATTCAGCAGTGTTATGAAGGTTATAAAACTTTTACATGTGCCAATTTTCTTTGCAGGCACAAAAGAAGTCATTCTGGAGAGAAACCTGAATATACTCAATGTGTTAAAACCTTTGCATATCACAGTAATCTTCAAAGGCATCAAAGAATTTATACTGGAGAGAACCACTATGAAGGTGTTCAGTATGGTGAAGCCTTTGGATGTCAGAGTAGTCTCCTAATACATAAAGGAACATATACAGGAGAGCAACCCTATGCATGTAATCCATGTGGTAAAGCCTTTTCATGTACTCTCCAAATGCATCAAAGAATACATATTGGAGAGAAACCGTATGAATGTAATAAATGTCAGAAAGCCTTTGTATATCACAGTCATCTTCAAATGCATGAAAGAACACATACTGGCGAGAAACCCTACAAATGCAACCAATGTGCTAAAGCCTTTGTATATCCCAGTCTTCTTCAAAGACATGAAAAAACACATACTGGAGAGAAGCCATATGTATGTAATCAGTGTGGTAAAGCCTTTGCATATCACATTTGTCTTACAATACATAAAAGAACACATACTGGAGAGAAACCCTATGAATGTAATCAATGTGATAAAGCCTTTGCCCAGCACAGTGCTCTTCAAATGCATGTAAGAACCCATACTGGAGAGAAACCTTATGAATGTAATCAATGTGGTAGAGCCTTTGCTCATCACAGTACTCTTCAAATGCATAAAAGAACACATACTGGAGAGAAGCCATATGTATGTAATCAGTGTGGTAAAGCCTTTGCTCATCATAGTGGTCTTAAAAGGCATAAAAGAACACATACTGGAGAGAAACCTTATGAATGTAATCAATGTGGTAGAGCCTTTGCTCATCACAGTACTCTTCAAATGCATAAAAGAACACACACTGGAGAAAAACCCTATGAATGTAATCAATGTGGTAAAGCTTATATATCCCAACACGGCCTCCAAATGCATGAAAGAACACATACTGGAGAAAAACCATATGAATGTAATCAATGTGGTAAAGCTTTTGCACAATACAGTACTCTTCAAATGCATAAAAGAATACATACGGGAGAGAAACCCTATCAGTGTACTCAGTGTGGTAAAGCCTTTGCATATCACAGTCATCTTCAAATGCATGAAAGAACACATACTGGAGAGAAACCCTATGAATGTAATCAGTGTCATAAAGCCTTTACACAACACAATACTCTTCAAATGCATAAAAGAACACATACTGGAGAGAAACCCTATGAATGCAATCAATGTGGGAAAGCCTTTGCATATCACAGCAATCTTAAAATACATAAAAAAACACATACTGGAGAGAAATCCTACAAATGTAATCAATGTGATAAAACCTTTGAATGTACGAGTAATCTTTGAAATCATAAGAAAAAATCATCTGAATGTAGTTAATGTGGCAGAGTTTTGTAAGTCATGGTTCTTGTTCTTTATACAATAATAAAACTTTTAGTATGTTGTTAGTCTGTTAAAGCCTTTGAATATAACATTAGACTTGAGAATATGAAAAAAAGTCATACCATAGGGAATCTGAATATAAATGATTTGGTAAGATCTTTAGCAACCACACTTAATTTCTATTACACAAAAGTATTTATTATGGAGAAATCAGTGTGACATGTGCCAACAATCTGTTCAAGCATTATAATGTGTACATCCGTAAACTCACATGAACAAAAGGCCTATGAATTTAAATACTTCTCTTCAATTAAATGAGATAATGTTCCAGGTATAAAACTTCATGGATGTGTATTAGTGCCTTTTCTGTTGCTGTGATAAAGCAACATGTTTAAATTTCAAGATTTGTTTTGGTTTTAATTATGCCATGTCACTGTTTCTTTGTGTGGGTATGTTCATGTTCATTCTGGTTCCCAAGGTTTGACCCTTGGCACTGTTCAAGCATTATAATGTCCCTCTTTATTTTGTTTTCACCTACAAACTCACATGGACAATAGGCCTATAAATTTAAATGATAATGAAATCTTTTTTATATTTCATACTTCAATTATATGAGATAATGAATCTAGGTCCATGTATAATGAATACATGGACATGTATTAGTGCCTCTTCTGTTGCTGTGATAAAGCAACATGTTTATGTGAACTTATGCCAGGGTTTAATTTGGCCCTTGGTTCTAGAGAAATACAGGACCACTGTGAAAGTGACCTGGAAACAAGTGTCAAACATGGCAGTTAAAATAAGAAGCAAAAAATTCACATCAACCTGCAGCATGAAGCAGAAAGGATAAACTGGAAATGGCGTGCATATGTAAAGGCCAACCCCAGTGACATATTTCTTCCAGCAGGGCAGATTTCCCTAAATCTTCCCATATGATACCACAGATTGAGAATGATTGATTTCACTGACTTCAAGCCAACATGTTGCTTTCTGTTACATGATCCAATTCATAATGGAGAAAAACTCTGTAAACCTTTAAATGCCTCAACACCTGTATTACAGGAATTACAATAGAAAAACACAAGTGAAAATTAGTTTCAGGATTTGTTTTAATTTAATTATGCCATGTGACTGTGTCTTTATGTGGGTATGTGCTTGTGTGTTCTGGTTCCCAAGTAGGTTAGACCTTTGTAGCTTCTTGTAGCAGGAATTATTGAAAGTTGTCAAAACCTGACCTTGGTCCTGGGAATGAACTTGCATTAAGGGCTTGATGATGTCTCTAGCTCTGTAAATATTTTAAAGCTTTCTTTCTATCATCTTGATATCAGTAAATAGGGAGGAATTCATACAAGAGAGAAACCTTATTCATGTAAACAAATTTGTAAAGACTTTTGACATCACAGTTGTCTTAATTTCAAGGAAAAAAACTTATTTCATCTCTTTTTCATTGTAGCCTTGAAGTAAATAATTAATCAAGTCCAGTAAAGACTTATGTGAGGATCACATTGTGGCTTCTATTTTGCAATATGGGAGGTAGATATAAAAGTGTACTATATGTGTAGCAAATCCATTTAATGAATTTTGTAGCACAAGTTCTAATAGGCATTAGTAGTAAAGGCCCAGGATAAGATAGAAGGAAAAAATACTAGATTGAAACTCTATGAACATAAAGAATATGGCAAAGCCTTTTTACATCACAGTCATCTTCAGATACATAAAAGAACACATACTGGAGAGAAGCCCTATGAATGTAATCAGTGTGGAAAAGCCTTTGCACGTCACAGTACTCTCCAAATACATGAAAGAAGCCATACTGGAGAGAAGCCCTATGAATCTAATCAGTGTGAAAAAGCCTTTGCATGTCACAGTAGAATCCGAAAACATGAAAGAAACCATACTGGAGAGAAGCCCTATGAATGTAATCAGTGTTGAAAAGCCTTTGCACGCCATTGTCATCTCCAAGTACATAAAAGAACGCATACTGGAGAGAAATCTAATGAATGTAATTAGTGTGATAAAGCCTTTGCTTTGCTTACAGCATAGTTATTTTGAAGGTGCCTCAATGCCTGTGTTATAGGAATGAATGCTTATAAGAGAGAAACTGTCATGTGTGAAAAACTGTTTAAAGAGTTGTTTTAATTGTAATTATGTGATGTCATATGTTTGTGTGGGTACGTAAATTTTTCATGTTGGCTTCTGAGAATGTTCGACCCTAGGATCTTCTTGTAGCAAGAATTACAGAAAGGTGTCAAAAATTAGGCCTTGGTCCTAGGAATGAATATTTCTTAATTGCCCAGCCATATTTCTAGTGCTGTAAATATTTTAAAGTCTATTTGTATCATGTTGAAGTCAAGAAATACGGATAAACTCATATGAGAGAAAAACTCTATTCCTGAAAATGATTTTGTAAAGACATTAGACATCACAGTTGTCTTCAGCTTCAAGAAAAAAAAAACATGTTTCTTTCTTTTTTTTTTTTTTGTAATAGCTAGCCTTGGAGGAAGTAAATAATTTACCATGTTCACTGAAGACTGATGTTAGAGATCACTTCATTGTGGTTTCTACTTTGAAACATTTGAAATGAAACTAAGCCGGGCGGTGGTGGCGCACGCCTTTAATCCCAGCACTCGGGAGGCAGAGGCAGGCAGATCTCTGTGAGTTCGAGACCAGCCTGGTCTACAGAGCTAGTTCCAGGACAGGCTCCAAAACCACAGAGAAACCCTGTCTTGAAAAAAACCAAAAAAAAAAAAAAAAGAAACTAAAATGTGCCTCATGTGTGACAAATTCATTTCTTGCCTCTAAGACTTTCTAGAAATTAGAAAAATCATAAATCTTTCTTTATCAAGAGTTGCTGTTTGAGTTTGTCTTCAGAATATCTGAACTATGAGGGAAAGGGTGAAGGAACACACACACAAGGGACACCATATTTTGGAAGAGGAACAAGAAGTGCTCTGAGAGACTGGAAGAGTTTCTACTAAAATACCAATTTTCCAGACTAGAGCCCTGTGTTTCCCTAGGGTGGAATGGCAGAGCTGGGAAGGGCTGTGCTGGCTTAGTTATTTGATTTATGCTCATCTAGTAAGGGAATTGCTACTGTCTTTAGGCTCAGCTGGGCAATTCTAGCTTTTGAGCTATTGGGTACTGAAGACCAATGCAGGTTGCAAACATTAATCCCTCTGTGTTGTCGAGGCCAGTTGAGCATCTAGTCTTTAGAGGTCACTTGTGCTTGGAAGGAATCTCAGATTCAAGTCTCTCTATTATCAGTTGTCCATCAATGTGAGGATAAGACAAAAGCTTTGCTTTATGTGTTGTGGCTTTCTTTGAAACCTTGAAGAAATATTTCCCACATTGATCCTTCTTTTGTAGACTTGATAAAGATTCCAATTCATTGATTCGGTTATCCATGGCTTCCATGAACAGGACAATAAATGATCAATAATTAGCCTTTGTACCCAGGGACCTCACTGACCTTGTATAGAAATGAGAGGAATATTCCCGCTTTTGGTCCCTCTAATGACATTAGAATAGCCTCTTAGAATGATTATTAAACACCTAGAAGATCAGTTTTATACTAGTTTTGTACTTTTAACTACTTTATAAGACTTCAATAGTCAGACACAACTCAATATACTTTGTTTGACATACCTTTTAGCCAATTTTTGAAATAGTTGGAATATGACCTTGCAAACTTTAATAAATATGTAATCCCTAAATCTCATCCTTATGTACCTTAAACAACTTACTCGACATTCATAGAGTGTAAAACCTTTCCAGTCTTCTTTATCCTGGAGCCATCCAGTCATAATCATGTTCATATATCTAAGTCCTTTTTTACTATGGTCATTTACACACTTATATTCTTCTAACATGTTTTTTATGTACTGCTTCCTTTTACTAATACCATTAGAAGTAGGAACATTAACAAATATGTTTATGATCTGTTGTGAGAATTTTCTCTCCTGTGAAGGGGGAGGAAGCAATTTCTATCCTATAACCATAAGCCCCAACGAAGATACAAAGTACAATATCACCAAAGTCCATCCTGGGGATCCAGTGAGTTTATTGAGCTTACTTACTGAGCATGGTCAAAAAGGTACTTAGAAGGGTTTTGATTCTGTGGTTGTTTGAATCAAAATGACCCCCAAAGTCCCATGGAGAGTGGCACTATTAGGAGGTGTGGCCTTGTTGAAGTATGTCATAATCACTTTCTGTTGCCTGCTGATCTGACACATAGCTCTTTCTCCAGCACCATTTCTTCTTGCATTCACCATGCTTTCTGCTATGATGATAATGGACTAAATCCTCTGAAACTGTAAGCCAGGCCCAATCAAATGTTTTCCTTTATAAATGTTGCTGTGGTCATGGTGTCTCGTCACAGCAATAGAAGCTCTAAGATGCCCAAAAGCAGCCACAAGGCATGTCTCCATCCAGTATGTACAGTGGCTCTCCCATAGTTGCATATGTGGAGCTTACCTTCTCTTTACTCTTCCATTGCCCATATACTCTCCATTACAGTATATTTCTCAGTGGACATAGGATGTAAGCCTGATAGCACTCAAGGTAAATTCCCACTTTCAAAGACAGCTTTCTAATAGGTGCTGACACAAAATCTAGATCCACCTAAGTCTTTCCGTTGGGAGGTTTCTCTAAGGCAATGATGTATAGAGCAACAACAGAGCTCTGTCTCTAATATCAGGAATACGCGTGGGAGAGCTGGTAAAGATGTGGGGCCAGGGCCTTTGGAAAAGGGTTGTTTCAGATCCTCAGAACTCAAGACTTTTCACAGACGGGTGAAAACTGTGGTTATCAGTCCTAACACCACTGTGGACTTTGTTTATAATGTTCTTGATTTTCCCAATGTTCCTTTTCTGCAACATTGTCTGGTTAGCCTTTTTCTGAATTTGTATACTTCCTTTTAAAACTGAACTCATTGATTTACATTAGCAAGAGACTTGCTGTTGAAATTGATGTAAATCTCCAGCCAATCTGTGATATGTCTGTCTGTAGATTAGCAGCCAGTGCTGGGAACACTGTGCTGTGTCCCTTCTGCTCACCTGGTTCTGACATTCACACCTCACTAGCCAATCAGAGCCTTTACCCGTCAAATGGGAGGGCTCTTCCGGGAACCAGTCTTCCGGTTTAGTGCTTCCTGAGGAAATTGCAGTCTCTCTCATGCACGGTGCCTTGGCTCCCACGTGGGGAGAGATGGTGTCTGTTCATCAGCCTCAACATGGTGAGTGTGAGGTTGCTTTCCACAGACAGGAGATGTGGTGGGCCAAGGTGTGTAAGAAGCTGCTGTCACCACATGCGGAGGAGTGACTGGGCTTGGCGAGTGAGGTACCGCTGTCCTCAAACTAAGTGGAGCGGCCTGCTGAGGCTTGTGGCTGGTGTGGTGAGTCCTCCCCTGGCTTGGTGGGAGGCAGTGGACAAACACAGAGTTTAGTGTGTTCCTGCCTTGTTCTAAGTCATCCTAAGTGATCCATGCAACTCCCTGCTGGCAGTCTCTGAAAACTTCACTGCCTGGGCTGTGTCTGCACAGAGCAGAGCCTTGGGAGCCGCAAATGGTGGTACCTGTTGTTATGGTTTTGGTCTCTTTAAGAGACAAGCCACACCCATTCCCCCTCCCCATCCGCTGAGGCAGGCTGATCTTCAGCTTCCGGCCTGAGCTTGCTCTTTTCCATCTTCCTCTCGGAGAGCCAACTTTGCTTCTGCCTCTCTCCCCACTTCTCTGCTTCCCCCCTTCTCTGTCTCTTTCTCTCTCTCTCTCTCTCTCTCTCTCTCTCTCTTTCTCTCTCTCTCTCTCTCTCTCTCTCCCTCCCTCTCTCCCTCTCTCTCTGTCCCCCCTTTCACCCTTCCTCCTCCATAACCCCCTGAATAAACATTCAACCTCACCCTGCATGTTGTGTCTATCCATGTTTCTGTCTTCTGCCCGCCTGCCATGTGTCTCCCTGCCTGGGACCAGCCATTGCTCAGGGACCAGCAGCCACCACCACTGCTCTGGGACCAGCAGTTGTCTCTGCCTGGGACTGGCTGCTCCCAGGGCCTGCTGTCTGCCGCCACATGGCCCGCTGCGACCGCTTGGGCACCACTCTGGGACTGGCAGCCATTTCTGCCTGGAACTGGCTGCTCCCAGAGCCTGCTGCCTGCCACCACATGGCCCACTGCCACCATTTGGGACCTACAGCATTTCTGCTGCCTACTGCCGCAGGGATCTTGCAGCATTTTTAAAAAAGAACAACACCTGTGGTGCTTATGTTGTTGCATGTGAAGCCAAATTTTCCAAACTGGGAGACTACTGGTCTCTCCAGTATCTTTAGAAGTTCTGCACTTTTAACATTTAGGTTTAGGATCCATCTGTAGTTAATTTCGTGGAGCTCATAAATGGTTTCTCCTTTGTAGAGTATCACTCCACTGCTAAACTGTGAAGTAGGAGAACATAACTGATAATAGAATTAATGATATAAGAATTTACCAGTTGTTAGGAGACAGTAAGTCACACAAAGTAGAATTTAAGTAAGGGAGGACTGCATCCCAAATGCCCCAAAGATAAGTAGTATGCTAACCATGCGTGTTAGAGATTAGTATCATGAGATTCAAATGTTTGTTCGCCAGGATTAATAAGCAATTAAGTTACATTGCTATAACAAACGAGACAACCATGATTTACAACCAGCCAAAAGACCCACTTCCCAGTCAAAGACCTCTAACATGCTGCTGAAGGGGCCATTACAGGATCACCACCTGTGTGCCATGAAAGTATAATAATTCTAGAACAGCTGCATATTTCAGTTGTAGAAGGTGGCTCATTAATGAAACTCCAAAGAAATGAAACCATCATGCAGATTTCTGGTGGGAGAAAGACTTATTATCTGTTTTTAATCTGTGATCTAGTTCTTGCTTTTCTTTCCTGGTTTTCTGAAATCCCCGTGACATCCAGGTAAAAATTACCTTCAGTTCATGTGACCTCAGTATGGTGTCACATAACAAATATCTCGTTTTTTATCTTTAAATCTCCCTTTAGCTGTTAATATTCTGGGCATCCTTCCACCTGTGGGACAGTGGCCTGTACAAGCTAGCTTGTGTCAAGGAGAAGAACAGGCAGTGCCTGTGGAGAGCTGGAAGATAGCAGATCTGATATTGGAGCCAGGGGCACATGCTATGGAAATGCACCTCTACTGATCTAGAAAAGGTCTTTGTGATAAAAGCCAGGGCCAGGAACCACTGAGCTGTGTCTTTGATTTTCATTTTTTAAATTTTTATTTCATTAGTTAGTTAATTAATTTATTGTTTTTCAA